AAAATGCCAGTAATGCCCAGCAGCCTGGTCTTTTGTTCGGAGTACGGTCTTTTGTTACAGGGCCCTGTTTCCTTTGTCCGAGTTCGGAGACCCCGGCCACGCATATAAACCATACGTCTCAGATCCCGGAGTCCCCGGCAGGAAGTGATTAATATTGAACTTCAATCAGCATGTCACAAGAATCACAACATTAACGACCAAATCGCTGAAGAATCTGATGCTTCCACAACGCTTCAATCCAGAGTTCCATTTGGAATATTGTATGTGGGGTGTAGGCCAAGGCAATCTTTTGGGATGGGAGACATCGGAAGAGCAAATGGATTACAGGTTATTTTCTTTTCTTCATTACTGCAGGTTGGAACTTATATTGAGAAGATGTTCATGTCCGAAATGTCAGGAAATGTGATCGGTAGGTTCCTTACAATTGCAGAGTTGGTTCGTACTGGTACTTTCTATTTAAATGAGGAAGAAACACAGCCAAATTCCTTTTTTTTAGACATCATTGAAGTGACCTATCTCTGCATTTGCATAAGATACATTAGTGCCAGAAAAATATTTTGTGTCAAAGTCCTCTTTGATAATGTATAGCTTCAAACATGTTGGGAGGTTTGATTGACGTTATGGCATGACACATTTGAAGATGCACAATTTTGGAATGGAAGCGTACCAACTCTACTTCAATGACGTGTTTGCCTTTTGCAGCTTCCTACATAAGAACGTCGTGGCACCCAAGTCTTTTACATGTTGTGGTGTAATCTTGATATATTAAAACTTAATTTCTTGCTCTCTGCTTCAAGGGAGGCTTCATGAGCTGGAACATTAAAAAAAATCAATTTCGTAGCAGTGCAGTTTTTCTTATACTGAGTCGGCAGGACTTTTTCCACTAATGCTCTGCGTTTTTTTTTAATACCAATGTCGAGAAAATGAGACATGTCCTGCAAACCGCTGATTTTTTAAAGACGGGTCGGCCAAAAATGTATACTTTTCCCAATGACATGTTCAATGAATGGAGGCCAACACAAGTTAGGCGATGATGTTTTCATAAATGGCCATAACAAACCATGGCTGATTGAATGGGAACTTCACAGATACAGTCATAATGTGGGCCTTTACATGCATGCAAAGATTAAAAAAGACCATGCATATGACAGCCAAGTTCTTGGGGGGGTTGGAATCTAGCTCCCCTAGCCATGAGATGGGTCTTAAGGGGGCAGGCGCGGCTCTCCTAGAGTTAAATTGTTTCCATCTGCTCAACTAGATCTGTGTCCAGTGGGAGCCTTGACCTCCAAGCCCTACGCCTTCACAGCCAGGCCCTGGGAGACCAGGAAGACGGAATCCATCGACGTGCTAGATGCCGTGGGCAGCAACATAGTGGTTAGCACACGCAGTGGGGAGGTTATGAGAATTCTGCCCAGGGTACATGAGGTCAGTTTCCATAAACAGATTGAGTTAACTTATTCTATATTGTATTTTGTCCTGTTAACGGTCGGAGGCCTGTCACATTGTGTCCGGGGAGGGGGGGTATTATCAAAGAGTTGGTAATGAACTTCTTTGAATATAGTTTTTGTGCAGCATTATTCTCCTCTTCAATTTTTGAAAACAGTCGGATATCTTGCAGGGGTTAAGTGTATTGAAAAGTGGATTTTTAAAGAAAATTGAATATGTACTGACAGTTGGCTTCATTTTTGGTAAGCAAGACTTATAACTCATTTTGCTTTGAGAGAATGCCATGTTTCCTGACCTTTGATACCTGCTATAGGGCACATGACATAGCAGGCACACTCAAGTTACTGTGAAGCCAACATTGACTCATTTAAAACATTTCTGAGAAAGGGTTGCATGCTGAAAATCAAAAAAAAAAATAAAAAACCGCCAGCTACATTGAGATTTTTTCCCTGGAATGACATCACAGTTCTGCTCATGAATAAATGGAAAGTTGCATTAGCATAAACAAGAAAATCACGTCAAAATACCTTGAAAAAAGCAAAAAAAAAATGTTCGTGGGTTGTAGAATTGCAAGAGCATTGCAACAAGAACTTTGCTCGTTCCAGTGGGGAACACCTGCTGTTCCTTCTTGACAGTGCCACATGTTCTTGAATGGGGACAGGCTCAGCGTGTTTGTGTATGCTTACTTGGTTGGTATGTGCTCGTAATGGGAATGCTGCCAATTTCATTTTGGAACACTGCATCCATAATGGAGCACTAGAGAAGAAATAATAACATTCCGACTTCTGAGATGTCCCTTAGTTTTCAGTTTGTCAAAGAAAAACGTACTGTACTTGCAGGTATTTTCTGTGAAAGTGGACCAAACTTTCATGATGCACCAAAACCGAATACTTTTATGGAGAAAACGTAGAGGCTGAGAAGAAATTAAGCAGGGTACCAATCAGTACCTGTACACATCACAGCTTTGTTTGGGTGGGTTACCTGTTTTTCCAAGGATGGTTTTGCACCGGGGTGTGTATTATAACACTGTATGTACACGTCGGGCAGGGCAAAAATCCCAAATTAATTAACCTGCTTTAACTATTTAGTAAAGAGTTACCAGTACCCATTCATACTCCTGGGCAGAAGGAGGTAATTATCCCACATTGTCATGCCCAAGGAACACAAACCCTGTGGTACCAAGCACCACTGGACCATGACACTCGATTCCTCCTTAGGTGTTCTCTTGGGGTGTATGCAGCTGTTTCAGTTCTTGACTCGGAGGGGATCGTGTCATTTTTCCACACAGGATATCAACGAGGAGTGGATATCGGATAAGACGCGTTTTGCCTATGATGGCCTGAAACGCCAACGCCTGACAGTCCCCATGGTCAAGAACGAAGAGGGTAACTTGACCCCGACTAACTGGGAGGACGCCCTCACTAGGGTGGCTGTGGAGGTGGGTCACATGTTAAGAAGGATGTTTTATTGTGTACATACCGACTGGCAATAAGATGGCAGGCCAGATGTAGAGATCATGACCTAGCCAAAAGTAAATCCCACCCGACTCTTATATAAAAAAACAGGACGTGTGCTGTAAGCATTTTAATGAAGGCACCAATACCTTTGTGGTCAAAAGTTTACATTGACTGAAAGCATTGAATTACAGTTTTCAGGACTTTGTCCATTCCTGGCAACCATTCTTTTTCAGTAGCTGATCAGCCTGCACATTCACTTCATTGGCATGAATTTGTAAATAAACTACAAAAGTAGATAATTCAGCAGCTGTAGGAAGGAAAGAGTTTCCAGAATAGAGGAAGTCCTAAAACGTGTTATTAAGCTCTTATGCACCGAGTGCATACGTTTGACCACAAATGCATGTCCACCGACTATATTCATGTATATGTTATTGGTCTTTCTTGTGTTCTGTAACACAACTGTAGTTAAGCAACACTGATGGCGGCGACATCGCAGCCGTTGCTGGTGGTCTAGTCGATGCAGAAGCCCTGGTGGCTCTAAAGGACCTGCTCAACAAGCTGGGCTCGGAGGCTCTGTGCACGGAGGAGGTCTTCCCTATGGATGCTGCAGGGTAAGAACCATGATTAGATAGCAGGAGATGGTTGGTCGCTGTGTAGCAAGCAGGATAGAAGTGCGGTGGGTTTGATCTTGACTGACTACAGTCAGTGGAAGACGGAAATAATACCAAGTTCCAAGGAAAGCACTTTATTATCACCCTCAAACTGGATGAACACGTCCACCTCTGACATAGCCAGAAACAATGGGACTAACCTGTCCAAGATTAGGAAGACTCATTTTATGCAGTGTATACATAAGAAAATGAGATCAATACATTTCATCATAATTAGACAGAAAAAATAGAAGAAACATGTAAAAGTGGCATTTAGCGTGGCAGTGATGAGATATATATACTCTGCCAACTGAGGGCGCTAGCACAGTAATATCACACACAGTAGGTATGTAGGTGATACAGACGTGTTGCGCTCATAACTACATGTAGATATAGCTGTAGAACATGTGTAATCCGGACAGTCATTTATCAATGATCAATCAGTCACATCTCTATAATTGATAACCAATCAAGCATGTGTAATTTCATGACAGAAGCTACTGCCAGATACCAAGTCCGTGTTTGTCACAGCATTTAAATCGGAATACAATGCTATGCTCATACTGGCAAAAGTTGATATAACTGTGAACGGGTTCGTAAGTGAATGAAAGTATGATGGAGCGGTTTTAGACTGTATAAGGGTCTCGAAACAATGTGGCTCAATGCATTGTCATCCCCATGCCCCTAGCTTGTTTGAAATGTACATGTACTTGTTAAAAACCCACTCTGTCCCATCCATTGGTTGTACTGGGCATGCATGCTTGGGTGTTTTTCTTGTACGAGGGTTGGAGTGCATAAGGTCAGAGTCAGCTTTTATTACAGTTCCAGAGAAGTGTTCAAAACCCGATGTAGTTTTTGCAGGTGTTTCAAACAATGCCCCTGACCAGCTTTCGACTAATAAGAATGGGTAAACTAAAAAAATGTTCAATTTGTGTTTTGCTTTTGTCGTTTGTACCCTGCGCAGCACTGACCTGCGATCCAACTACCTGCTGAACACCAGCATAGCTGGCGTGGAGGAGGCAGACATTGTTCTCCTGGTGGGGACCAATCCTCGCTTTGAAGCGCCCCTCTTCAACACCAGACTCCGCAAGAGTTGGATTCACAATGACCTCCGCATTGCCATGGTCGGCGACAAGGTGGACTTGACCTATGAATACGATGTAAGTTTAGCCAAGTCAGTTCTAAGAAGTGTCTCTGGGAACTTGAAAGTAAACAGAATAGGTGTCCTGTAGTCAAGGGGCGATTAATGTTCAGACTTTACTTGAAAGTTCTGGAACAAAAACTTATGAAGTTCATTTTTGACAGTCCTAGTCAAGCCCATCACAAGTGCAATTCACAAGGCTGTTGAGAAGTTATGGTAGGTAAACAGAAACAAAGGTGTGTCATGGCCCAAATAATAATACGCAGTTTCATTAGGAAGTATCTGGATGACAGGTGTCAACATTCTCTTCTTGTCGGCAAGCACTGTTTATAAGTATCAAAAGTATTCAGTTTTCATTTATTTCCATACTAGTACGAGGGACAAGGCAGAATAGGGCACAAAAAAGTAACAAGTACAATGAAAATAATGCAACCCCTTTGCGCCGGGACACGGCTAGAGCCGCCGTAAAACTTGAGATCCTCAGCCCGCTTTTCAGCTGTCATTCTCGGCCCACTCTCGAGTGAACACGGTGATAGAAGGCAGACCCTGTCTCTTGTATATATGGTGATTGGCCTTTGTGTGTAGCCCAGAAACGAAAAGACCGAATTTGCATTATAATCACCAGCTTCACAATAGTCCCCACTTTGAAAAGAGGCAACGGGAATGTGGAAGCGTGAGTAGAGCCGCATGCCACCGAACAATCAGCCTTTTCACTGTGTAATTCAAAGCGTGCAGGGCACGCAGGGCCACAGGCCGACATTTTGCGGTTTGGCAGGTAGCCTTCACGTCCAAGCGAGGCTGGAATTCTTGGAGTCAGCTTTCGGAAAGAAATTCCCGTTGTCAAGGGGTTAACAGAAAATAATGTGTATAGATTAGTAAAAACATGAATCAACGAAACCAGTAGCAGAAGCAATCATAGAGTAAATGAGTATGGAGGCTGTTTGGGGAAGCCAGGGCTTATAGGAAACAGCCTTTGGACAGACATGACAAACACACGAGACTAAAAGACAAAGACAAAGCAAGAATGAATGGACATTATAACACCAGGCAGTGAGGTCAGAGTAAGATATTAAAGCTCCCTTACCCATTTTCCAGGATCTAGTTAATGGCAAAACACCCCTTCAGTTTTACTGAGGTTCAACAGGCTGACCTCTTCACCCATTCTTCAGGTGCAGTCCTGTTTTGGCTGTACAAGCTCAAGTTTTTATTGCTGACAATCGTTTCTTTTTTCTACAGCACCTAGGCGACACTGCCAGTGTTCTTCAGGATCTAGTCGATGGCAAGCACCCCTTCAGTCCAACGCTAGCCCAGGCGAAGCACCCTATGATCGTTGTAGGCAGTGGGGCTCTCCAGCGGGAAGACGGCACCACCATCCATGGACTGGTGGCAAGTCTAGCCCAGAAGGCGAAGGCTTCCAGTCAGGCTGGTGATGAGTGGAAGGTCCTCAATGTACTACACAGGGTGAGTGGTGGAGACCGGAACCCAGATAGGTTCAGTATGCACTCAGTACTTGTGTTGTGGAAGGCGATGACAAGATATATCATGCCAAAAACACCATTTGTTCTTATTCCTTCCTTGCATTATACTGAAAAGCAAGCCGTAAACAAAGGGTCAACTTTTCACATTAATCGAAGTGTACCGCGTTCTATGGTTAATAAAACGCAAGCTTGGGTTGTACAAGGCACATATCATACTTTGTAGAGTGCATTCATAACTATTGTTCATGCACTTGACTGTGTCTGGATTCCAGTCACCGTCAGATGCACTTAAAACAAAGGTGAGCATTCTTGAGGTTGAAAGATGCATCTGATATCAAAGCAGTGGAAAGCAGAGCAGCTGAAGGAACCGAGTGCTAGGGCTGTGCCGAATATCCGAATAACCTAATATTCGATCGATTGTCGAATATTCAAATATAGTTTTTCAGTATTCTAATGCAAAATTCATGAAAAGAAGGGAAAATTTTCATTTGTTTTAAATGAGAAAAATTGTATTATGGAAACTTGGTTGAAGCAGATTCAAATGAAAAGCGTCAGAAATCTCACAACGATTTAAAAGTGAATTATTCAATATTTTATTTTATACTATTCAATTATTTGAAGGAATATAAATTTTCAACAGGGCAAGAAGTCTTTTTCATCACTTAAATCTTGCTAAATCATGGCTGGAGAGACTCCTAGATGGGAGAAACTATTTTGTATGTTATTACAACTGATTTTATATATGGTTTGTTCATCAACAATCTGCCAGTTGGTACTACCGAATATTCAGATATTCGATCAAATTGAAGGTCGAATATTCAAATAGTGAATTATTCAAATTGACTCAGCCCTACCGAGTGCCCTTGTCTCCCTGCAGTCAAGCAATGTCATAGGCAAAGACTTTATAAATAATAATGTATGCTTAAAGAAGAAAGTTGTTGAATGCAAACCGTGAGCGAACGTGAAATGTATCCGACATGTGTACTGTAGCTGTTAGGAGTTGGCCTCACAGTTTCATCTTCTCATGGATAGAGAACCCAAATGTTCACGAGCTCACAAAACAGACTGGTAAGGCGAGCAGAATTTGAGTTCTGAGACCCAATGTGCCTCTCAGGGTTCCCAGGCATTCAGAGCATTTTCAGGCATGCCGTTGAACAATCTGTCCTCTTTGCCTCCTGATCAGGTGGCCAGTCAGGTAGCAGCCCTTGATGTGGGCTACAAGGCCGGGGTGGACTGTATCCGAGAGAAACCGCCCAAGGTTCTCTTCCTGCTCGGAGCTGATGGAGGTACCGTTACGAGGGCGGACCTACCCGAGGATTGTTTTATTGTATATCAGGGTAAGTGGTCAAACCAGTCCTTGAGGTGTGGTTGGGGGACTTGAAACTTAATTGAAAGGGTCTTTGGCATTCAGATGCCCCCACCACCTTCCTCTGACTTTCCCAATAGACGTTTGTACCCAGGTTGCCCATCTCAGTCATTGTTTTCAACCACAGCTGAGAACACAACTTGGTCTAATAGTCTAGCCAAATACAGAAACGGTACATCTTTTCACCATTGCTGTAGGCTGTGTATTCCAGCAATGGAAAAATTTATTACAGCACTCATTTGCTTCACAACCAAATCACAGCATGTTGTGATCTTTGGCAAGTCACTTTACTCCTATGTGCCCCTGTGAGGGTACCTGTGAGGGCGGACGCAGTTATGTTTAGCCGTTTGCTCCAAAATAGCAGCATCAGTCTATTTATTCTCCCCAGGGAGCTGAGATGATTTCAAGAATGTTCAGATGATGTGAGCCCAATGTGCAGGGATAATGATAATACATGTAACCGCACAGAGACACTCCGAAATATGCACTCTATTAAGAACTGACTATTATTATTTTATTATAAAGTCATGACAGGCCATCCAGTCTCAAGTCACAAGTGCTTGGTCATTGTTGTTTTCCCCTGTTCCTGAGTCCCAATGTGATTTGACGCGAGATCTGATGTTCCTGACCTAATTGGCTTGATTGCCACTCCCATGGCAACCTTGGTGATCTTCAGACGTTCGTCTGATGCTTTTTTGTGCAGTTTTGAAAGACCGTTGATTACTTGAATCATGCATTGCGACATTGCCACAAGGATGGTGCTAGAGAAATGATGGAGAGTCAAATATTCAGATTAAATTTTGAGTCGGCATTTTGTGAATCACTCGCCGATGATGTTAGTTTTGACCCCAAAGCTTGTTTTCCAAAAAGCCAGATGTTGAGGTCAAGTCTTGATAAACAGCCAAACAGCATATAAACTGATTCACAGTTACCATTTGAATAGTAGGTGCATCTTGTAGTACTGCAGCCTCATATTGCCCAAACTCAAGGATGTGCCAATGTGATATTTGCTTTTGCATGAGGTTTAGCTCGATGTGGCACACAGGTGGCCTCCAAGACTTCTCCGTCTTTGTACTTGTATAAAAAACATGAGGCGATGCATGGTTAATGCTAACCATTAGCCGAGCCTGTATACGTTGAGACTGCCAGATCATGTTTACGGGTTCTCCGGCATGAAGTGGTTAAAATTAATTTGAGACACAACCTAAGCTAGATGACTGAAATTTTTTTTCAAGTGTTCCTTCGTGAAGACCTTGTGTAACTGTTGTGTCTGTGCAGGACATCATGGTGATGAAGGAGCCACCATTGCAGACGTGGTCTTGCCCGGTGCTGCGTACACGGAGAAGACAGCGACCTATGTCAACACAGAGGGACGAGCGCAGCAAACAAGGTTTATAATCTGTCTGACTATAGTTTGAAGTAGTTGGTCTACATCACTAGCCCAAAGTGCGTAGGCTTTGTAATTTTGCAAAGAATCTTCGGGTGGCTTTCAAAATCCTTCCGTTTTCTTTCAAAGAGTCTAAAGTCCCATGTAAAGAAACAGTGACTTGGTCATACTTTCCAGGGCTGTTCATAAAGTACGTACATGTTTGCACAGAATAGCATCTTTCTATACCCCCTATCCCCAATAGCATACATAGAGGTTCTGACACCCCTTGTTATGTGTACACATTCCTTGTTTCTCTCTGACTTAACTGACCGTTTGCAGTGGTAATGGCAGTGATACACGGTGACTTTCTCTTCTTGATTGGTGGGGAAAGGTACCATGGGCAAAGAATCTAAATGGTTGGAAAGATACCATGTTTATAAAGCTTTCTTATTTTAAGAGCTCATTCTGTTAGGCATTAAAGGTGAGAGAGTATGTTAACTTTTTGAGGAGTTACTAGAATCAAAATAGAGTTCTTTAGATATTTCTGTATCCCACTGGACCCCCATTCCCACCGTACGCAAGGTGCATGCAACGCTGACAACCTCCGTTTCCCTCCCTGTGCTAGATTACCCCCTTTATTCTTCAAAATCCTCCCCAACTATCCATCCTTCTTGCCCGAAGCCGGTACCGAGGACTTTGTTTATCCGTCTTTATTCTCAGACTCGCTGTGAGTCCACCAGGCTACGCCAGGGAAGACTGGAAGATCATCCGAGCTCTGTCCGAGGTACGGTCAGCAAAACGTCCAGCCATGTCAACTGCTTTTCCCTTGAATATCTCGGGACCAAATCAACACCTGCTTTCTGCAGTTGTCGGTTTGTGTGCAGATTGGGTAGAGTGTGACGGCAAATGTACATCTTTACAAATTCATAACATATTTCATCTCAGAAGATGCTAATTTTTACCGCACATTGTTATGTGCTAATGCAGTATCCATGCAGAAAAGAAAATACCTCTGTAAATCACCTCACTACTGAGGGTGTCATTATTCTGTTCAGGTCACAGGTCACTCTCTGCCGTATGATGACATACACGAAATGAGGCACAGACTAACAGAAGTGTCCCCCAACCTGACCAAATACGGTGAAGTTGAGGACGCTAACTTCTTTGCGCAGGCAGAAGCTCTTGCTAAGGTAAGATCCTCAGGAAAGACGTGAACTATCGTTTGAAAACTTAACATTGCAATCTCAGTTACGTCAACTGGATTACGTGGGTTCAGTGTTTTACTGGTTTCCCATCAGAAATGCACAAGAACATCGCAAATGACGGTAAAGTTTAATATAATACCCAGCATCCCTGCGCCACACCCCAGTCGTTAACATCCTATCCCAGCATTCTCTGCTCCACATCTGGACAATTCCAGCCACCATACACAGTCAACTCATTCCAACAACGTTGCAGTGACCAGACAAATGACTTTGTTATAAGCATGGCACTCATATAAAGGAAAGAAAAAAGAGGGAAACATAAGAATTCAAGAAATTGGGATTCGTAAAATTATTCCTTATAAGAGCATTTTGCTATAACAGTGTTCTTTATGTCGAGAGTAGACTGTAACCTGCTAGAGCCCAACAACTTGAACAGTTTCCAGAAGATAACGGAGCACACAGTTTGAAATGTCAGTACGTTCATTACCTTGCACTTGCTCTTCACCTTGCCAAAAGGCATTGTCCTCATTGCATACCTACAAACAATGGCTCTCTGTGTAGGGTAGCGAAGTGTGACGCCACTTAGAACCAGGAGGTGCTGGTTCTTGCGCTAATGCCTTTTTCACACGTACTTGAGCATGTGAGGTAGTCGCTTTGGAGCTCTGTACCACTGCACCAAGGAGAGCTTCAACAATGCTTGCCCCTTCTTGTTTTTGCTCAAACTTTTCAGAATCTTTTTTGTTTTGGATCATGACCAGGGCGTTCAATCCCAACTGTCATGGAAACCTCTAGAGGTCAAGCAGCGGTCACTGAAGGATTTCTACATGACCGACCCCATCAGCCGAGCTTCCTTGACCATGGCCAAGTGTGTGCAGGCTGTCAACGAAGCAGTGAGCAAGAAATAGAAGTCCGGCAAATCAACAGGAATTCGGGGGGTCATTTGGCTCAGAGTGCATCATCCAACTATCATCACATGTAACCGGATACCACAAGAGGAGTCCTGATGCCATTTTGTCCATAATTTTGTTCCAGTTGGCATTAGAAAGAGCAAACAGAGCTCTTTGTTTTGATGTATCACTCAATTTGGAATCCCTTGGAAATTGTCATTAAGCGAGTGAAAAATGTTGTGGGTTGGTATTAAATTCAATTGTGTAATAATCTTTGAAAAGTCATTAACTCAGAAGTGGTTTGGGCGACTTGAGACACATTTTGGTTGGTTGCATTGCACAAATCTGAGTGTATACGTTTGTGGTCGCCATGTTATCCTTTGAGGCTTCAGTAAGTCTTTATATCAAGTTGCATACTTCAGTTTTAAATGAAGCAAACATGACTTCACTTCTTGTTAGTACCTGCACTCACTATTTATTCACTTTTTGTGGCAACTATTCGGGTGAATCCCTATGAATAACCTCTCTCAATTAAAGAAATTAACAGATCCAATAACAAGTGACCGGGATTTTTTGCTTAGAGGAGAAATTAAGTGAAAGAGGGTGTGGTTTCTCTGTAGTCATAAGTGTGGACCACCTTTCTTCATTCGATTTCATTTAAGATGGCAGTGGTACATAACAAATCTGACGCTGGATATTGCTTAATATAAAAGTAGAGGTCGGACCTTGAAGACGCTGACACTGATGTGGCCTATAGCTGTGTGTTCATCCTGAATGTTACCTTTCGAGCTCAAATATTTGATTTCTAAGAGACCCTTGTTAACAGATTTTCAGTGGAAAGGATTTCCCACAGAAGCTTAAGATCCTGGCATGTCAGTTGTACATAAAATAGACTGTGATTTGTTTTCCAATAAAGTTGACTTGGACTAATGGAATGCGTCCGATTGTCTCGTCTGTCATAAATCTTGTTCAGAGAATTCTGTTGACTGAAACTTTTATGTCCTGCCTTTAGTCTTTTGATGCCAGCGTCGTGAGAGATAAAGGACTCGGAAATTACAAGTCCAGAATTTTCCTGTCTTTCAGCTAGGGTTCCGTTACTAGGCTTTGACCCCCCGTTTAAAATTTCTTTGTCGTTCGAAACTCCTCGGTTTTACGATTTGCAGCGGCCCTGCTGCTCTCAGTAATTTTCTGTAAACGTTCGTCTGCCACTTCAGTCATGATGGCCCTCATCTCTGGATACTCTTCCAGCACTGGTGAGAAAATGTATTCCGCAAAACACAAAAATAAAATCAAGGTACCCCATTTGTTATTTATCATTAAAGCTTAGATTTCAACATGTTTTTGAATGAGATTTGAACTGAAAGGTTTCTTGTGAATGTGTTCTGTTTATGCATGTTTTATGCAGTACATGCTTCATGCTTTTGGCAATGTCAACCCTACCGTCATCAAAATCGCTACTGTGGAGTCTGTAGATGTCACATGTAGTCTTGGCAATGACAGATGCCACTCTGCGTTCACTTATCAGGAGAGCAATTTCTGCGTACATAAAATTCAACAACACACGCCAACGATAAGTGATATCATTACCAATTAACTGGTTTTCAGATAAGCGTCAGCTCAAGATTTGCCATTGCATTTGACAAATGTATTACTCTGGCAAAAAGTGATGTACCCTTTGCATAAAGGGGCCCGCGGCAATTTGTAACCTTGTGAAGATTTTTTAAGAGTTCAAGTTAAATAGCGTTTCACAACCGGTCTTAGAAATCCCGACGCCTTCAGAAATATTTTCATTGGCGAAAACGTATGGGGGCAGATTTTGGAAATGTTCTATTTTAAAGGTTGATAAGGCTTCGGTCTTGGTTTGTATTTCAGGAAGAAATTCCCCATTCCTCGCGCCTACGCAAACACTATCCTTCCATTTTGCAAGAAGGAGTACAGAATTATCACAGAACGTTAACTGTGGCAACAAACGTAAATTCGGTCTTTTTCTTCTGCCTTGAAAGACCAATTAGTATTATTTTTTGACCAAAAAAGCCTCAAATTTGGCCCCCTAATGTTTTAATATCCTTGCCTTTTAATAGAAAATGATGTCGAAAGGCCCGCTTGATAAAAAAGAGAGGAAACACCTTAACATTAACAAGTAACCAACACACTCAATTTACAAACTCAAGCCGAAATGTCATCGTAAATGGACTCCTCACCACCGAAGTGGTCCCCATCTTGCAGGGTGCCAACGATCCGCCCTTCCACCTCAATGTTCACCATGCCGTGTTCAATGAAGTACATGGCGTCGCCATGGCGACCGGCCTTAATGATGACGTCATTTTTAAGGTAGACCTCAAAGGTGAGTTTCTCGATGACGTCCAAGACAAAATCCGCGCTTCCCTTGTTGAGGAAGTCCACTTTCTGGACGAGTGATTGTAAACGGTGCTGAGTGATCTCCTGGGAAAAAAGTATCAGATTAATGTCACCAATGTACAAGTTATCTGTGTTGATACGAAATACTTTTTAAGCCAGTGACATGGGTCTCTAGTAAGTTGCAGGTTCAGCTTGTTATGAATTCCTCTGACAGATACTTTGTCAGTACAGGGAGCACGTTGCTTCAGTGGATGCTCATGCCCCACCCCACCCCCACCCCCACCCCCACCCCATTTGAAATCTTTGAATTATGTCTGCTGTGATACAGCTGCAACTTATTTCCCTGTAGCGTCCCCTTAAAAAAAAGTATTCACCTCCGGGTGCCCCCGGAAATTTATTCCTAGTTACGCGACTGCCTTTTAATGAGTGAGTTGCGCAACCACGTTCAGATGCGTTCCTTGATCCCCTACAAAGACGTCACGGGTTTTTAAAATCCCTTGTGCTATCTAACTGCATTCGCACAAATCAGCACGCGGTGTTTTCCACACATTGGCACGAGGACATTTTTTGAAACATTATGTAAGAGAGGCGACTTGGGGGACTATGCCATTCTGCTTCTTTCCTAAAGCGTGTAAAGGCCCCCAAAGTTAGTCCCATCCCTTAGAGATGCCTTGAAGGGTAAACAACAAGCAGAAACGCAAAAGTTGTGTCCCCCCCGCACCAATAATTTTATTCTGGCAACGCTCTTGATTCCACATTGTTCACCCCTAGACTATGGCGGTCTTGCCACCGAAAAAAATTCAAGTGTAAGTGATGACATCACTGTGGTGGAATTCTGAAATCACTACTTCGGGACAATGGACCTGCTCATCACCGTATACTTTTACGTAATATATTTACTGAATATTTTGTGCGAATTCTGTGGAAAATAGGACTTCATTAAAAAAAGAGTTCAACTCTAAAAATGTGGGCGATATTTATAGCGGACAATCGTTTTGAAATTACCACCTGTTGATCAATTCGGGCGTACTTTGACCAAACCTTGAGAAGGAGGTTTTTAAAGTAGTCGCACCAGCGTTCAAAAAATTAAAGAAACAATTGCCTATATGCTTGAATTTAGAGTATATTAAAATTGCACTATGGTAAGGTACCCTGCGTAATGGCTCGTTTTGCTCCCGTAAGATGGTATCCTCATCGAAGTACTTTCGCTGGTAGCGATGTTCGTAGTATGTCAGTACGCGCTTCTGGGTGCTTGCTGGTATCTTGCGATATCGCATATACTCCTTTACTTGATTTATCTATGGGAATGGTAAAATAAAAAAATAGAAATAAAAATGCAGCGCAAAATGCAAAGAAGTACGTACTGGAAATTCTGCTCTATCGGTCACTGAAGTAGAAAAAAAGTAAGTGGCAATCTTTTAAACTGATATATACACCGGCCAAATGTAGGGCTACTTTTTTCGAAAAAATGTGAAGAAAATGCAAAGCACTGTGGGTAGCTTTTTGCTGTGATCTTTGCATTAAGGCCTTTCCATATGTACGCTTTGGGTGTTGGTGCACGATGCGTTCATGCGTTTCACTTTCATGGACACAAAAATCGACCCCATTAACTTAACGCACATGTGCGTCTGACAGATATGCAACGCTTGGCGCAGGTGTTCATGTGCATATTAAAAGGGCCTTTATACGTTCTGTTCGCACTCATGGTGCGCAGTCAAATCTGTTGACTCATTGGTCATAATGGAGATTCAATACTATCCCTGCAATGGGAATTTTGAGGCTGCTTCACCATAAAAGCTGCTGGATCAGATTGCTGTGAATCTGAAATCAGATTTGCTCTATTTTTTTTGGAAAAACGCTTTTCAACTGATTAATTATAGGCCCTACGACATTTTCAGCTCATTTAGACCCAAAAAGTGTCCTTTTTGACCTGGTAAAGAGTCAATCGAATTCGGGTTCGGATTCCTGATACGTTTGAACCCATACTCCCCTGGCCCCAAGACAATAAAGAGACTACAACCTTTTCGTTGTAGATGCGGCCGGACGCGTCGATGGACAGCAGAAGAGTGGCCATCTGGCCCACGAAGAGGGCGTAGAAGGTCGCCCCCAGCATGATGCTGATTGTTGCCGCCCACATCTCGATCAGGTTCTGCGGGACGTGGCGGCCGAAGCCAATTCCCAGCATGTGGCAAATCGCTTTGAAGAAGGACCACGAGTACTGTTGCCACTTGTTAGCGTCCTTACGGCAAAATGCATAAAAGAAAGAAAAAAAATATAATTTTTCTTTGAAAGCCCAAGGTAGGTCCACTTCTGCTCCTAAAAAAAAACAGACGTTAAAAGTAACTTTAAGGGCGGGTCCAACGTCCCTTGTCTTGGAACGGGGGGAGAGGAGTGCAAAAATATCGGATTTTTCGTTAGGTAATCTCATAGGCCTATGCTCATTTGTGCGGAGTAAGACTAAATTTGGGGCTTTTAAACGCTTTGGGAAGGAATGGACATGAAAATTATTGGTGTCAAGAACTTCATTCGTTTAAAAAAATATCTTTCCTCTCTATGGAGGGGATGTATGCTTCCGTTGTCCCCGACCCTTAGGTCTGCCAGTGAACAACTTCCTCATGGGCACCTGAATGAATTCGCAAGAAAAGCGCTGGAGCCCTACAATTATGTGCCAAAAAGCTAGAGTTTGGGCTTTTCGGTGAGAAAAATGATATTATCATAGGCCCTCATTCTTTTCGTAGGTCCCAAAATTTGTATCCACTGGATTGTCTGGCGCATGGCCCTGAACAAAATGAATGTACCCTGCATGGCCATGAAAAGAATTGTCGGTCTTCACAGAGGAAACAGGAATTATTATCTGAGTTTATCATTAAAGATGTCCCCTGTTAAAGTGTCAGTTGGCATTACTTGTCTTGGACATGATGAAGTTTGCAGACCATTCTTTTCAGAAAACAAAGGTCGGGGAAACAAATCAGTGTAGATACTAGCTATGGCGACATTTGTATTTTACCTGCAGGTTACTGATGGTTACCCAGCTATCTGTCGGAAAGTCCTGAGCAAAAGCGATGAAGAACTGAATGCATCCATTCCAGTGAGCCACGACGATCATAAGCAAGGTGAGGTTGACGATACGAATTACTGCACCCTCGATATTTAGAATCTGGCGGGAAATTCAGGAGGACACTTCAACACCATAAGCACAAACCTTATACCGGTTCAATTCTGTACACGACATCACGAAAGTGCGACGTATGTTCAGCAACGAAGCTTGAACACAACATTTAGCAACGGTCTCCAATTCCTACGCGTCAGTGATGGCTAAACCCATCCATCAAACTCGGTTTAGCTTTTAAACACGTTCCCAAGAAAGCGTGCAGACAGGTGTTTGATCAGTACAGTCTGAACAGTGTACCGGCATACGGCTTTTTAATTAACGATCTCAAAACGCTTGCCACACCTCCTCAAGTTTGTTGATGTATCTCATGAGACGAGCAAGACGCAGTAAGCGGAGAATCCCAAGAATCTTTGCCAGCCTGCGTTGGGAAGAAGACAAGGATTACATGAGTGTCTAGTGCAGATGAATCGACGACGCATTCATCTATAAAACGAATAAGTCGTTGATTGATTTCTGATGTGATATTTATTTTACAGTAAATACTTGTATTAAATATATATGGTAATGGATAAAACTCAAATACATAATGCGCATGCAAGCGCATACTGTCTTGCTACACACCAGACGATTATTACCCGCTTTAAAGCTGATAAGATTCTTATGTTTTTGTTTCTTGTTGACATCATTGTCTTGTCATCACAGAGGCCAAAAGTAAGCAATAACTCAAGCAAAAAATGGTGGTAGGCCCTATAGCCTACCATCTTATTTGAGTGCACTGCACGAGGTTCGATTTAGATAATACCTGAATACGCGCAGAGTCAGTGCAGTGGAACTCGACTGGTAATCCGTGGTGCCCTGAATGAAGATGTAGATGTAATCGAACGGGAATGATGAGATGAAATCCGGAAAGAACCAAGTGCGGATGTACTTAAGAGCAATGCGCTTGCGAAGTAAAATAACCTGCCGGGAAAACAAAATTTAGAAAAATCTCGAAATCAGTCGTTGTGTTTGTTTATTGAAAAAAAAACATGAAACGGATGGCACGTAACAAGAATAAAATTTAGTTCATCGATACCGGAAGGGTTACATCTTCAGACATTATGTATATACGGACTAATGAATGATTAGGGAAAACTCTTCAGAGCTAGATTCAGTGTGTCTAAAGACACTTTATGGCCCAGTCACGGGAAATGTTTTGTCCCTAAAATTTTACATAGGAGCAATTCATGTTTTACAATGCACTGCACAAGAATGGGTATTAACTCAGCTAGGCAGTTAGAAAAAAAATTGTTCAAACGGTGTCGAGTTTTTCGCGGTAATTAACTATAACTTTTGGGCCTTAGGAGTGCACTTATCAGATACGTCACAGAAACATTGAAGCTCGTGTGAATATCGACTACTAAAAAAACGGTAGCCTGTTTGAGGCAAGAGTTTCAGGCGTGCTGTAAGGTGAATCGGGTCCTTTTGACAAGCCTCTTTAAAAAGTCCCCCAAATAAGGAGCAGATTCTCGTTAAGTTGTACTATGTCAATTACTGTTGACAGAGCGTACGTCTTCGTTCTTGTGGTCGACAATTCCGGTGACAAAGTTTAGAATGATGTCGATCAGGAAGAAGCTATCGGTAAAACAGTTGACCGTGGTCCAGTGGACAGAGAACTGATCACTGTAGAAGGCGATGTTAACTGGCAGAAGAATCAAGGTGATTGACATCAGAAAGACCATCCACAGATCCCAATACCAACTGCAGGAAATAAAACAGATAATCGACACAAATCCTTTTAAAATTCATGGGTGACATTCTGTGTATATCTGAAAATCCCATGAGCCTCCATTGCACTTTCCAATCTGTTAAGGAGAAACGACGAAAAAGTGGAGATTCTTTGATTCGAATGATTGAGGACGAGAAGTGTCCGAGCCCATTGGAATCAAAGAATCTCCACCTTTTGAGTGGTTTCTCCGACTTAAACCACGTCCCTCCCTCCACTATTGTTCATATTGTACAAAGGAACAAAACAGCTTTACTGGTGCTTTGAGATGAATCCATCATTGGCTGGTTATGTAGGGCCTATACTTGCACAAAAAAGCTTCATTCCTGACCCAATTAAGCCATTGAGAATTTGAGGAACTCCTCGGCTGGGTGCACAACTATTTTTCACTCACAGGCACAGTACATGCTTTACACGAAGACGCAGACAATGCAGTCGACACCATCAGTGTATGAAACGGTCCATGTGGATTTATATCTATATATGTTAGTTGCAGAAATATGCTGAATTTAAGTTAGCAAAGGCTATCGATATGACTGTACGGAGCTGGGGACCTTTTACACCACCACAAGCAAGTTTCCCGAGTGACTGATTTGAGAACTACAGTTTACTGTCTCTTCAAATGAAGATTACGTTTACAACCTTGGGAGTAGATGCTTACTCTTTGAAATCCGCCAGTGTCAAAAGGAAATTCTTCCGTTTGGAAAATACATGCATTTGGAATATCATCTCATTCATCTGGGAAGTATCATACGTAAGTTTCTAAACGATTTATCTGTTTTGCAAGATTTTACATGAATTGGGATTGCTGAAGTTGTTTTTAAAAGTTGTTTAGTAACAGAGAAAGAGGTAAAACTGAGGTTTAACCGAAAGTAAAGTTGCTATATTGAAATAAATAGGCCTACACAAAGACAAAGGATAAAAATAATAAAAATGATACATTACCATTAGAATAAATATCCACATTAAAATGAGAAAAAAGATGAATTAAAACTGAAATGGAAGGGATATGTAAAAATGAAACTAAAATTCAAATGTAAAAATGAAGGAGACACATTAAAAACATTATATAGTGCAACGGAAGGAGTGGTTCGCTTTAATTGAAGATCGCTAATCTCAACAGAAAACGTTACTGCGTCAAATCTAAAAAATTGAGTGTTAACCGTATTGAACGTCTAAATTTGCTTTATTGTTCAGAGCATTTCTTAACGGTGTTTGACGTTGTAATTTAATATCACAAGTGCTTTTTCTTTGTGTATCAAGTCGCTTTTGAAGAATGTTCACACTCTACATTCTTAAAAACTGTATATTCTTTTTAAGAATGTGCGGTGAGCTGTACATTCTTAAGAATAATCGACACTGTACTGAATAGGGTGACGTCACAAGAGTGGTTTAATTAAAATGAATATGCATGTAGTCTCGTTTGTGCAACGTTGCTTACGATTGAGTGCAGCGTCACTGAGCCTGCAGTGAATTCAGTCCATGCAGTGTCGCTCAGCGCGTTCTATCCGGACTTATACCCACATGACGATCCAGAACGGACTACGCTAATATCCATTTGAACCATGAGACGCCAACGTAAATAGCTTATGTGAGCTTGTGGATGTCAAGGTAATGCAGAGAAACTTTTGCATATATTTTTACTTAACGGGGTTGGGGTGGCAAACACGGCGTTTATGATTACAGGTCATTAAAAATTCAAGCTACTGTGCCGGTGAGTATTGTTAATTGAATATTGAAAGAAATTGACATTGTATGAGACTACTGCGTCCATTTATCAATGAAATTAGTGTCAAAAAGTGTGCAAATATCAGTAGACAATCTTTTCTTTATTTACAAAAGAGTTGAGTGATTGCGACATGGGATACAACATTCATTTGAGGGATTCCTACCCAGCTGTGTTTTAATATGCCGAGCTTATAACTTCGATGTCAGCGCACTCCAAAGCACTAACCAATGGCCGATACACGTCCTCTAAAGTTACTGACTTTTTGTCATTACCGAAAGGTGCTGAATGGATGGATGACGAAGTGTTGAAACTGTTTCTGTCGGAGTTGTTCATTCTCCAACGCTTTATCACTTCGATAGATCCGCTTGACGAAGTCCTTAGACGACGCATGGAAGAGATTCTCCTTGGTCATAGCTTCGGCGATGGACTGGCGCCGCCTACTGCGCGGTTTGGTGGCCACACCCATGGCAGCAAGAACCGCAATATCGTTCCTTCCTAGGCCTGTGATATTCAGAGTTTTGTCACTTTGGTTAGGGGCCGTCCATAAAGTACTTAAGCACAAAATACCGACTTCTCAGACCCCCTCTCCCCTGTACGCACCCTCCCCCTATAGGCATGGTGCACGCAGTGGCTCCAACCCCCAACTTCTTCCCGTGTACGCATACGCATTCCAAATGTCTTTTGACTTCTCAGAGTAAACCTTGTTTTAGCATAACTAGCACAGTACACTGTACATTTGTTGGCACGGGAGGAAGTAGAGTGGACGGTGTGGAATACTATGAATGGTTTTTCGACACACAAAACCTGATTCTGGTATTTATTTGTATGAGAACGTGTACTGACACGATGAAGATTCATTCAAGGCAAATTTTCGGTTTGCGTAAGGTGTATATCCGCACAGGCTTGAACCCCCCCCGCCATGTACGCACGGTGTACTCAACGGCACCAACCCTTCCCCATTCGTGCCTACGTACTTTATGGACGGTCCCTTAAAACTCATTGTACGTTTGTTTTCGTTGATCATATAGGCGTCGCGGGGGGGGGGCTAACGGGGAGAAGCGCGTGCCCTCTCGAAAAATTCGAAAAATAAAAAAAGGAAAAGGAATGAAAAAGGTGAAAGAAATGAAAAATTGAGATGAAAAACCTCAAACCTGAGCCCCCCTGTTGTTGATTGCTATTTTTGTATCCCATGAGCCCCTTGCTATCCCCTGGAAAAAGTGGTTCCTTGGGGAAAAACCCTGGCGACGCCCACCGTTGCAAAATTCAGGCCTATGTCATCTGTCTGACCCACCCGTTCGGAATTTGGAGGAGAAAAGAAGCGCTGTTAATTCTGTGTCAAAGCGTTACCAGTACCCATGCCGGCGCTTCGCGGAACAAGATTCCCATTCATCCAACTTGAAACTGAAATTGTTACGCCAAGAGACCACGTTGATTTTCCCAATACGAATTGCCACTAATGTGCAACGATAAAATAGCAGAAGTCGGCAAACTCACAAATGGGGGCAGAATAAAACATAACGGGGCATTTGGTTCTGTGTAGGGCCTATTCAGTCTCTCCGTTCGTCGACTCCAAAGCACGGTGTGACCAGGGTTTGACTGAGGTCTGTGTTCTATGGCAAAAAGTAAGCTGAAAGCCGGCATGAACCGCTTGGATCTCTTGCATGACTCTCCCCAGCTTTGCCCATATAATCATGTGCCTCATCTGACATAAAAACCTGATCAGATCATGTTAAACGTATCAGACTTACCTCGATCTCCCCCATCCGAACCGTGCACAACTTCAACCCCCTCCATCTCATCTTCTGCCATCACGATCTATAGATCGGGTATTAATTTGGCCGATCAAGTGATACTATCCTGGGTTGTCGTTGTACGCTGGTTGCAGAATGATACAAACGTCCCTTTACCTCATTGTGGCAGAGTTTAAAGGCACGGGCAGCCAAGTACATGTAGATGTAACGGTGAGGATGGACCGGACTAAAGTTCGCAGATGCAGAGGATGCAGTTTATGAAACTGTTGTGCGATACTGTTTGCATCAATGCTACGTTACTAAGCGCGCGCGTCATACCTAAGTGTGACGTCATTTAGAACCAGAAAGCACTATGTACATGTACAAACGAATTGAGTACGCGTCTTCATGTGAAATATGGAAGGGCTGCGTAGCACCGCGATCAGAATATCGACAAGAATACAATATCAAATCAGTGCTCTGAAATATGTAATTGCCGAGCTGAGTACCTTCTTCAGGGCAAGCAGCTCGGCAATCACATATTTCAGAGTGCTGATTTATACTATTCTTGCCGATACGCGTATAGGCCTACATGTGTTGTACACGCGCTTGTTCTCCAACTTATGCCTTTTAAGCACATAACTATGCGCGTACTCCAAGAATGGCTGACAACGCGCACATAGCACGAACGACTTATGACGTCACAAACTGATTAACAACAAACTTTGGAGAAATATGGAAGGGCTGCGTAGCACCGTGATCAGAATATTGACAAGAATATAATAAAAAAACAAACATAACAAACTTTGATGTGCTTGAAGTTTGAATACCAACCAAGCTGTTTGATATTTCAAAACAGCAGGGTCATTCAGGAAAAAAAAGCACGCGCGCGAGTCCACGTAGGGTTCACATGTCTATATGTCTAAGGTAGGGCAGAACTCGCAAGCGAGTCCTAATGACCTCGGACGAGCTTCATTTGGGGTATGGCTGTTGGAATACCAAACTTGCTTATAATGGCACTTTTTATGTTAGCCATAGAACTAATATTACGTATAGCTTTATGATGGCAGCGCAGTGGCCAATGACGTGCATGGAGTTCTTTGGAGAACAGAAAGTGAGATTGATGCATCATGGGAATAAATATCTTATTCAGTTGTATCGTAAAAAAAAATTGTAGGAACTCGACATTTGCAAATCTGAATTTTGCCGTTACCAGCTCTACCTATATAACAAATTTTTCAACTCTGGCATGTTCAAGAATGTTCAAATTCTTAGAAAATATAATTCCATAGTGACAAAACCGGAGGCTGCCACGTTCTATAATTAATACCAAGTGAAAGGAAGCTAGGACGTTTCAGAAATCAGCGTCGTCATCCAAAATCAGTGAATTGACCAGTCAGCCAATCAGTGCATAGGTCGGATAATAAAAAAAAAATTCTTCAAACAATCAGGCACTTCGTTGGTATAGATTTGGGTGGACAATCCTCCAATTATGACAAATAGGAACATTGATGTATCCGGGGAACTGGGGGAAAAGAGGCTGTACCCCCCCAAAAAAAGGGGAGCAAAATTTCGTTGGAATAATTATGCGAGAAAGGCAATTCATTTAGTTTCTTTCATCAACCCTCCTTCCAAATAAAGCCCTCAGAAGGACCATGAAATGCTACATGTACGCAAAACCTTTCCAAATCTTTGCCTCTCCCCCCCCCCGGTGGTTCTGGATCTACCCTTGTACAAGGAGTGAGTGGGTCGCACGATGGATGACACTAGACGGATCATTGTGCAGTTTATAAAAATTGTTAATTTTGGTATGCAATGTCATTTTAATCGTGGACATCGTGGACACAAACGCTTTGCCATATACGTACAAATGTCCGCAAATTGTGGTCGATGGTTCAAAGTGACATAATTTGAAAAAAAAATTTACCCCTCAAATCCTAACATATCAGAACCAACATTATTTCAAAGGATTTGAAAAGATTCATTTACACATTGTCAAAATTACAACAAAGATACAAAAATGATTTTTCTCCCAGATGTTTAAATAAGAGTTTACATGTCCTACTTAGAAGCGTATATCGTAAGTCATTAAATATAAGCTGTATTTTTTCCAGACAAGGGGGGCAAGTAACAGATTTTAACGGGAAAGTAATGCATCATAAGTTTTGGCGGAGTGGAATTGAATGTTTCTTTGCTGTGTAAGACCAGAAAGGTCATCGGTTTCCAGCCCGGGGCTGGCTTCAAAAGATGTACGACTATGAGACTTCCTTCTCCCCCCACTTGTACTTTTTTGAGCTATGGTCTTGCTACAAAGGGCTGTATAAAAGCTACATCTGGTAATTAAGGTCATATTACGTTTAACAGCTCGTGGAACAAAACTTGCCGAAAGGAGTCATTGTGATGGCTTCGTGTTTTTGTCTTCATGTGTTAACGGGAGATTCCCTGAGGATATTTGAGGACGTTTCCATGCACGATTGAAGCCGAAACAGGTGGCGACGCCCTCACAAGCCATAAACCTGCTACTATCTTGGGCTTGAAACGTCTCAGTAATTTCCTTGATCTGTACGCCAGGAGACGTCGCCTTATCCCGTGAAACAAGGGAATCAATTAAAATTTACTTTTACTTGTGTTTAATGTAGTTAAGTGTAAACGTTGGCCAGACGGTCAGTACAAAGATGGCTTTATTGATTTTTTTTCACAAGTAATTTTCAGTGTGAATTTCAGGGGACAATCAACTGGCGCCCGACAGTTCACTAAAAAAATGTCACAAGTCTGTCTGAATCCAGTAGTGACTTGGAATAAAACGCTGACAAAGGAATGGCTTTGTCGCACAAATCTATCCGTAAATTGCTTCAGACCAGGTTGGCTTTAGACTGGATGACCTGGATGATAAGTTGATACAACCATGGAGGTATTCTATAGAATCAAATATGAGAGAGTCGAATTTCCCAGTTGAATTTTTTCCTTTGCAGTAATCTGCCACAAAATGTATTCGTGCCATGAGAAAAATCTCTTCATTGGACAAAATACTCGATGCCTTAAATAAAAAGGAATCTAATTACATTTACAGACGGATCGAGTTTCCAGGTATGGAAGGCTTGAGTTTTGTTTTATGTCTGCAGTTGTACTTTGTTTTTAAATACTCCTCGAGCAAAAAGACTAATGGTTTCCTCCAGTGAGTATCCGAAAAGTCGGTAGTCCTCCCAGTAGTAATCGCTTACTTTCTGAATAAGCTCGAGTGGTACTGTCTTGTAGTACCTGACGAGGCTGTCCGCGGCATTAGAATTGTGATAGTCAGGGAACTGGACCAGATGATCAATCCCTAGCCATTGAAGGACAAACGGTCCTTCGACAGAAAGATTTTCAAAGTGGCCAATGAAATCGTACTTGATTTGGCACGGGTGCGAGACGATATGCTGCGGTAGCCAATGGTCGTTGAACGCGTTCATTCGGATACCGCTTCCCAAGTCTGTGACGTACCGCAAAAACTCCGTCAGTGTGATATTCAACCAACCGGCCAATGAAGGCTTGGGCACATAGCGGTATCGGTGAACGATGTCCTTGCCGTACATGTTCTCCCAAAAGCGCTGCAAGGAGGCGTGGTCGTACAGAGCCCCGCCGCGGAACTTGCTCATGTAAGCCGACAGAATGCGGCTGAGCGGTTCGCGTACAAACAGCACCTTGCGGTAGCTGGCCAGCTTGGACTCTCTCTCGACGGAAGAGTACTTGCCCAAGGACGCGCTTCCCGTGCCGTTCAACTGCCTGAGCCGACCCAAGATTGCTTTCCAGGCCTTGCAAGACACCTTGGGAATGAAGTTGAAGAGGACCCTGTGCGGGTTGCTCACCAGCATGTGGCTGTACTCCATGGGAGATGAGGAGTTGAAACCTTGGCAAGACTCTCGAAGAATCTGCTGCCTCCTCTTTTGTTCATCCCAAATGACATCCTCTGAGCTTCTGGTAGAGGTGGGTTCAGATGAAGTCTGGTCAGTTTCTGTATTGTCATCGGTGGCTGGTGATTCTGTACCGTACCGCTACAGGGTGAGGGTACAAAAATATCGTTTGATCGTATCAGTCCAGTGTACTGCAAGGGGCTGTGAGGGTTGAATACGCGATTCCACAAGTCTATCACATCCCCATACAGCCGCAAGTAAATGACAAGCCCGTTCAGGAGTTAGGTTATGAATAAGGAGAACAAAACTAATAGAAAGCAGCATTTCAACGACTTTCTAGTGGGACTGACTGACTTGTGATTGACTCGTTAGTAATTTGCATGTTCCTCTGAGGACTTGCGAGGAGTAGTGGTGAACTTGGCTGAGTTACCGAAGCACTGAAGGTCAACCATTGATCATGCAAACTACACGCACTTATATGAATAATTCAATAACATCCACTTCACCTGAAAGGGCCCATTGAGACACGTCAGCAAGGATGCATGTGAAGTTTTAGGCAAGTCATTTCAGTAAGTTATGTCAGGAGAGGGATGTGGGTAGAATGCTTCCTCGTCACACTACCCAATCATCGTTGGACCCACTTGACGATGTTAAACGAATAGGAAAACATGAACTTGTCTCGGCAATTCCCAACTTACATTTCGGATGAACGAATCGCTGCCCGAATGCACAGCCATACGAATTGAGTTTTCATCACCTGTGAGAAACGAGGAAGTGCAACAAGTGAAATAGATTATCGTTCATAATTAATCGCTGATCGTGTGATGTAAATAAATTACATGCATATGGCCTATATGACATATTTAAACAGTCTTCTGAATGTAACGAGTAATAGCGTCAATTCAATTCTATATAATTCGGGAGTGGAGGTGTTTTTTGTCCTGATCGGTGTATAACCTTTGGTCTTTGTACGAAATACCATACCAACCATTTCTGAAGTGTATGTAGCTGTAGTTGGTAGCGCTTTTCCATTCCCACTGGAGAACATATGTGATCAAGGCGGCAGTTCCGACGCCAAGAATGAGCAACAGAACTCGCAGGGACTTCATCACCCCTGCAATACACGATGTGAATATAAATCATCATATGCCAAAACCTTTCTAAGAGCATATGAATTGATGCAAAGTTCATTCATCTTATCAGTATAGAGTTATTGTATTATAGTGGTATACTCTCTATTTTTTTCCAGTCGTGAGTGCCCATGGGGCGAGTTCCCCCCTCAATTCCTTAAATTTCCAAATGCGTGTAAAAAGCTCTCGATGAATTTATTCTGACACCTCAGAAAGGCCACAAAAACGTGACACGAAGAAATAGGTAAGTTTTGCTTCCCTCCAAATAAAAATAATAATAACAAAGTTTTTATATAGCGCATTACACCAAGGTCTCGATGCGCTTTACAGGAAACAACAATGGAACAAGCAAGTTTTGAGAACTGCTTTAAATTCATTCTCGATATTAATAATTTTGATATGATGAGGAAGAGAGTTCCAAAGTGATGGTGGTGCATGCATGAAGGAACGATACCCCCCCGACATTGGTTCTGGATATGTATCTGATCCACGGCTGCCGCTGCTTATCCATTGAGCTCCAACACTAATGCTAACAATTCTTGAAACGGTTAAATAGACGAGGAAAAATCATGTGTGTCATGGACAATAAAGATAAATTAAGGAGGCCGTCTAGTATGCAAACAAAAATCAACCACTTATCGACCACGGCGACTTGAATAAACCCTAAAAGATGACACCCAATAAAATCGACCCAAACCAGAGATTTAGAAAGGAGAACCTCAAAATCTTAAACGAAAAGTAGAACCAACACAGAGTGTAATTTAAAAGCAGCCTCTCGAGTTCACCCTGACGAGAAATCGGTAAAACAAGATAAGAAAAGTAAAGAACATAATGAGAAACAGGGTTTATAAATATTCATGACGCAATAAACAAGCTCTCTCATACGAATGAAGTGGCATTAATCCTCTTAATCAAGGATTAACACTTGGTAAAACATGTAAGGCGTGTGGCATACCGGCACCACATGTTATGTGAGAGAGTCCACATGTGAGAAAATCCAAAGTAAAACTAAACCACACTATGACCTGTCAGAAGAAAACGAGAGAATCGAGATATATTTTAAGTTTACAGTTTACAGTAGAGAGTAATGCATGGCCCATCCTGTAATTAACCGAAGTTGAATTTACTTTATCAAAAGAACTCAAAAAGACTGAAACTTCCATTTTAAAGGAGAACTTTTTAACTCATCAATATGTTCAATAAGAATGACCATCATCACTGTAAAAACAGTAATAAATATGGCATGATGAACAGGTTGGGCAAAATGAACAATTACAGAACCACAAAACTGTAAATTCTTTGAAGGATTGACCTATTCAGAATCAAATTTTACCCTGAATTTTACCCTATAAACTAAACAAATTTCAAAAGGAACTAGAATTGAACCATGGCAACTACACTAAAATACTCATACGTGGCCCATGAAAATGTCAAAGAACAATATTATTTTGCTAGAGAGAAAAAACTCACCAATGACTTCAGCCAACAAAAACACAAGTAGGGCGCAGGTTAACACACGTATGGAACATGTACATGTACACACGTCACTGCTACAAGCCTATTGAATGTGGCTTGACAATGAAGCTACATTTATAGAGGAACTTGTAAGTCGAATAAACAAACAGGGGAACACACTACTAAGAAAAGAGGGGTACTTAAGTTTCCTCTTACTTAGGGGTGCGACACCTATGTTTTAATACTAAAGAATACATAATTGGAAATGAGTGTAAATCCGGAGGGGGCTGAGGGTATATACCGTATACTCCCTATACACCTTTTTACCAGGGGGTGGACACCCCCACCCATGATGTACACACAGTGTGCTCTTCTTGGCGAGAAAAGAATAAGCTGGATTGTGAAGAATTTTTTCGACTTCCAAACAATCAAAATGCATCCACCTGTACTCAAATGGGCAACAGCATTACGTTTAACTTCCAGTGGCCCAAACCCCTGAATGCTGCTTATCAGTTTCATCCTGGCTGGATCAGCACAGCAGTAATTATAAGATAAACAATTACCCCTGAACCCACTTCCCCCAAAGGCCAGTGTGACCATTGCTATGCCAATCACGGCATACTGGCTGCGACTTGCTGATAGTGTAAAATAAGGGAACTGTTCAAGAGCATAGGCAAAGTTTGACAATTTGTATTTGATTTCTCCGGATATATTTGGTGGATTTTTATGATTCAAAGTTGCTTACCCAATAACTTTTGACACTTTTCCCAATGCCGCACAGTATATGCACAAATCTTGTAGACTTTTGTAGAGTTTTTTTGTCAGCAAACTCACAGGCCGTGCCATCAACAACCACCTGTTCACTCTTCGTTAACTTTTGATCGGATAAGAAACACTGGAATGCAAATAGCTCGATCCAAACCCAGCGAGTACAGATCCCAGTTCGTCATAATAGGCAAACTTGGGTCTGCTCCAAATTGGTGACTTGTCATAGGCAAACTCAGGTCTGCTCCAAATGAGTGATTCACGTAATGTGTGCCGTTTTGATGTACATGTATAATTCTGCAGGAATGTGATGCATTATTACAGATGTACATCTGTATCACGAACATCGTCCCGATATTCCATGGCCTCTCAAGTCATCCCTTCCCTACATAATTCCCCACCCCCCATCCCCCAGTACTGGCACAACTTTCGCGACTGAACTTCGACCTGCCGCGCTTATGAAGCTTGCAAATGTAATCAAACCAGGTCTGTAGTCCGCACAGTTTTCCAGCTTTAAACAAATCCTTTAAAAGAGACCAAAAGAGAAACAACTTAGGGCAGATAATTCGGCCACGAGACGTGGGTGGTGCAAAGCCTGATACGCTTCACATTTGTAGTTGTATTATAAAGGTTGGTAAACTTTGTCAAATCCAGGTAAGGATGGGTTTGGAATCGGAACCAAAGTGAAAAAGGTCCATGAGATGCAAGTGCTTGACTTATAACTTTCAAAGAGCTGGGTTATTTTGGTGCATTTCACAGCCGGCCTCCCCCAAGAACTCTACTGTATCACATTCGATTTTTTAAATCATTTTCTAGATCATTATCACTATACATATGAAGTTTGAGATAAATCAAACATATGGTTTTGTTATTACGGTCATTAAAGTGCCAACCGGCGTGTATTAAGACCGCAGTGGAAAACTATATATTATTGGCTGACCTGCGCAAGGACAGTAGTTTGTTTTTTCGCAAAAGTGGTGTCAAAAGACTGCACAGAGTCACTCTAAAAAGTCCTAAACGCTCAGTTCCTGAAAAAAAAAAACCACTATTGGGAACAAAATGTGTGTGTGTGTGGGGGGGGGCTTCATAGGTTGCAATACAGACTTGGTCAGCGACCTCCCTTGTCAAAATGACAAGTGTCACAACTTGGCTGCTTCACACGGAGTTGTCCATAACGGTACCGAGCCTCCTGGTGTGTTTTGCGGTATCGCGCAGTACATATGGACATGTGCAGCAAAATAACAGATTACCCGTATACTACAGCCTGTTTGCAAATTCACGAAAACGTCGTAACCCTCAGAAAGCCTCGTTGTCTCGTAAGGTCCGCCATTTTACATGGTTATCATGCATGCCTGTTCACGTTGATGCATTATGCATAATGTATACTTAGCTGAGATTGATATGGTCACTGTGCACTCATCGCACGCCTGCATCTGTTAGTGTTCACATTCGCATACGAGGTCGTGCGCCAGAAACATAGCGCAAATTAAAGACAAACATAAGCTTCCGCACACGCGTGACGGTTGAACCATGGAGGTAGAATTTGAACCAAGGCGTTCCTCCCGGTTCAGCTGATTTGCATATTTCTTAGGCCGAGTGAGGTCGCTCATTGCCTTGATTTTGCAACGTATGCAAGTACATGTACTGCATGTACAGTACATGTACATGTACGTACACAGGTACGTACTAGGTCAGCGAGCGGCTAGTGCGAGCCTCGCTGCGCTAGCGAGGAAAGACGAACGCCACGACCGAGGCTACGTGAGGTATAGCAACAGTGTTTTTAGTATGGAGAATTCAAATTGCTATGTTCACGTGAATTTTAAATAACTCAGTGTGCCAGATTCTATTCAAAATTAGCTCACGAAAGGCTTGTTAAACGCGTCTCTTGCAAAACACAACTTTTACTGAGCTTTATCTCGAAAGACAAGAAGGGGCGGAACCAAGACCCAAGATTTGGAACTACCCCAACCACGCCCCAACAGACGTCTGAATTCAAACTGCCAGCGTAATTGCCTCTTTTTGCGTCGCCCACCCTGAGCCGGCTTTTCATCCATCCATACATGCTCCCGTTTTCATTGGGACTCAAATTTACTTCTTTTGAATTGATGTTTCTGCTGTTTTTCTTATGCTTTCTTTAAAAATGTTTGCAAGTTCTAGGTTTTTGTTTTTTGCTTAAAATAGTTCATTTCCCTAAAAAATTTTCCCTTGGGGACATTAAATTTTCCTAAGATAAGAGGTAGGCCCAGGTGTGTCACAACAGGTGCGCACGCCGCGCCCAACCATGGAGGCGATTAACAATAGACCTTTCCACTAATTCATTCATATTTATACACGCATGCGCAGAGGTTGGCTCCAAGAACACTAACAACTTATTATGGAGGGGGGCATACTAAGAAACGACGATCTCATGCGCACATCATTATTTTAAAATCTTTTTACAGAGCATGGAAAATTTCACTTAAAATTAAATTAGAAACTAATAGCGAAACGATTTAATGGGATTTTTAAAAGAAAACTGAACAAAGTCAGAAAACTTGAGAGAAAATGATAATCGAAGTCGCACCCCTGTACATTTTCAATGGCCCACTCACACTTCTTGCCACCAAGGCCGTTTTGTGCGCATGTGTACAGAATTGTAAACTTATTAGTGAAAAGGACTACAGACAATGCATATCTGTGGCAACCTCTTGATGGCGCATTGTTATTGTGAATCGCCATCACAGACATGAAATACCCATAGACTAGACCGGCAGCAGTGGGCACAAAAGCGTAATTCCAGGACGGTGCTATTTTTCAAAACCATGGGCAAACTTGTTTGTCAAAGACATAAGCATCGGTGATTTCTCAAAGAAAAATTGCCAGAGATGAAGATAAACTTCAGCATTATTGTGTGTTTGGGTCAAACAAGCCTGACAATATAAAAATGTATTAAATTTGTGGGATGGCGAGTAATTTCAGTAATTCTATTCAGTATTTCTTTTTGCACATCACAGCGGTCAGCGTAGGAAATCGTGAAAACGTTAGCCCTTGTCCCTCCGTTTCCTGGAAGCTGAGTCCCTTATTTCTATCAAATTTCAACATAAAGCGATGGACGCATCGGCCCCAAAAGGGTTCTTGATCCTGAAGCACTCGCTTGTTTGTGCCTTACGGTCCTAAGAGTTAAACATGATTGTTAAAGATATTATCCAAGTTTAACGTGACTCTTCATCACCCATCTATTGAATGCCACGGGACTTTTTTACTTGGTGTTGATCACGAGTAGGGCTTTTGACAATAATCCTGATATGGAAGGTCTAGAAATATTTGGGTTAAAACGTGTGTATGGTTGTGTGTGTGTGGGGGGGGCAAATGCTTTATTGTTAAATCTTAAAAATCTGAAAGTAAATTCTTTATCTGTTAAATATATTAAGCTACGTATTTAGAATAGGATCATGTCACTGGTAACATTTTACATTTGCTACACACAAATACTCAGATTATTTTGTTACAGGAGAGATGCAGCATGAGAAGTAAACTGATTTCAAATTTTGTTTGATGCATTGAGGTTGGAAAACATTGTTCCTCGTTTCTATGGTTCACGTATTTCAAGTGATTGACCATGGCTGGAAAGTGTGGTATGAGGATGTCAGCAATGCTCCTCTTACGAAGTACAAAAAAATTCCTAAGGACCTCAACAGACGAGAACAGTGGAACAGAAATGAACAGGTTGTCCATATTTAAAAAATGCATCTGAACGCAATTAGGAAATTTCAAGCAGCCTTTACAAGAATGGTTGGGTAAAAACGTCACTCTCGGTCGCATGTCCATGACATACAGCACACACCCGTGGGCATGTGGTTATCATAGTGGTGCAACTTGCGCTTTACGAAATGTCGGTGGCGGGATTTCTCGCAGGCGATTTTCATCGTGAATCAAGGGAATCATTTATCACTTCATAGCTTTTATTTGGACAAATTACGGAGGGAATGTCTGTTCAAATGTGACGTATTTACCAATAGAGCAAAACTGCAGGCTATGCAGAATCAGTTCAAAATGCGCGGTACATACTAAGTGCAACGTGGTGAGTTGAAAACGCACGTAAAGTCACCGCAGGCTGCAGCAACTTAGGCCTACATGTACATGAACCATACCTGCCCACGGAGAACAACCAAGAGGTAAATAAAGCAGATCCATAAATCCACAAAAGTAACAAACTGTAGAGTTAGAGTGGTGGGTTTTCATGCCTTCAATCACTGATTTCGCAATTCTGTCACGTACCTCTCATTGTAGACTTGCGCAGAGTATAATTTGTCAGTCTGTCATCTGCCAAAGATACAGTTGAATTA